CAAGTCATACATATAATGATACAACGACCAGTTGGTGTCTTGGCTGGCAAAAGATTTGGTTGTTAATTTTATGAAAAGGAAAAAAAAAACTATAACAGATAATAAAAGATTAACAGAGTTGGAAGGGTCCGTATAAGTCATCTAGTCCAATCCCCTGCATTAGCAGGAAACCCTATAGCATTCCAGACAAGTGGCTGTCCAGTCTCTTCTTGAAATGCCTCCAGTGATGAAGCACCCACAATTCTGAAGGCAAGCTGTTCCACTGGTTTGGTTGTTCTCACTTGTCAGAAAATTTATCCTTATTTCTTTGTTGAATCTCTCCTTGATCAGTTTCCATCCATTATTCCTTGTCCGGCCTTCAGGTGCTTTGGAGAATAGCTTGACCCCCTCCTCTCTCTGACAGCCCCTCAAATATTGGAAAACTGCTTATCATGTCTCCCCTGGTCCTTTTCTTCACTAGACTAGCCATGTCTAGTTCTTCATATATTTTAGTCTCCAGTCCCCTAATCATCCTGGTTGCTCTTCTCTGCACTTTTTTTTATAATGTGGTGACAAAAACTGGATGCAGTATTCTAGGTGTGGTCTTAGTAAGGCTTTATAGAGTGGTATTAGTACTTCACTTGATCTTGATTGTATCCCTCTGTTAATGCAGCTTAGGGTTGCATTGGCTTTTTTGGCAGCTGCTCCACAGTTCTGGCTCATGTTTAGGACTCCAATATTCTTCTTACATTTACTGCTATTAAACTAGGTTTCACCTAATCTGTACATGTACTTTTGGTACCATTACCATAGTTTAGGATTCAAGAGAAAAGCACATGTGTGCAAAAATGCAATGTTATCTGAGGGCAATCCAGATGTTACTGCAAGAGAATTATTGGAGTAGAGTTTTTACCCTCCCTCACAAGGAAGCCTCTAAGACCAAAGCATTCAAGCTTTTGTTCTAGTTATCTGGGCTACATATATTAATAAGCATCCTGCTAATGATAATTTTAGAAATGAAGAGGGTTACTTAGTTTTTGGCAAAAATATCCTTTCTTCTTCTCCCAAGTTGGCATTCTTGCTACCCCCACCCACCCCCCAAAAAAACCCCTCAGTTTGGAGCAGTACACACAAAATAGAACCTATCTCTCACATTGCACTTTGGGATCACAAAAACAGGTTTATTTTCTTCACTAGAGTCACCAAACCCCATTGATAGGGCAAATGACTTCCTGAGATAGGCCTTTCTGGCATGACTCTAGTTGCCTCATTCATAATGATGGGCAAACCATGGTTATTTGCAGTAAAAATGGTTGCCATCCACCAATGATAGCTTCACGAGAATGAGACAATGTTGGTGTGTGTGTGTGTGTATGTGTGTGTATGTTTCCTTTCTTAGACATATCTCTTCAGTGACACCTGCAAAGCAAGTCACTCTTTATTTTATTGGCATCAGTGAGTAATGTCAAGGGGCGGTAACTTCTTTTATTTGAATTTTCAAATCAGGCTAATGTTTGCTAACAAGGATGTGCCAAGACAGGCTGACCTAGCCTGGCACCCATTTACTTTCAAGCAGATAGAACAAAATCACTAACTTCTCCTAAATGCTTTCTTTATCTCTAGCATAACCTGGGGTGGGATTCCAGATGTAGTTGAAGAATGGAACTTAACTGCCGTTGGAGTCCTTCCTCTTGGCTTTCTGCACTGCTCTTGATTGTGAAGAGAAGAGGAAGAGAAGTTTCTGTTACATCAGTGGCTGTTGCAATAGGTTTGCTCATTTGAGGATACATTTGTATATGGGCACTATTACTCATTGTAAATATCCTGTTGAAGTGTGAAAAGCAGAATATTTTACCGATAAAATATATTCTTGATTAAAAATCAAGATTCATGGTTTAAAATGCACAGTATGGTTAACGGTTCACAAAGAACATCTTAATTTAAAGAAAAAAGGAATAAAATCAAATTAGCAGGCTTCAAAGTGAGTACAGTGTGTCAAATCCTTACTGTAAACATAGTTTGGTTTTAAGGTGAATGTGAAGGTGTTTTTTTCTTGACAATTTTATACCTCTGCTTTGGGAATTCTTTTAAATGACTAAATTTGTTATTTTTGAAAATTGATCAAAGGGCATTCTTTCAACAAAACAGCATGTTTGACGTCTTTATTGTTCTACCAACTCCAATATGTGATATTCCCTCTTTTTTTTGCAGTACTATCAATTCTAAAGAATAATGAAGTTTGATTTGTAGAAAACCTTTTAGATATTCAGTGCAATTCCTTGGGACAGCAGGATGTTCTCGATCAGATCTACGTCAAGTCTTTTAAAATTAGATAATCTCTGTAAAATTCACAGTGCAGGCAATTTTATTTATTCATTTATTTATATTCCACCATTATTATTTTGACAAATAACTCAAGGCAGTGAACATTCCAACACACCTTCTTTCTCTTACTTTCCCCGCCAGAACAGCCGTGTGAGGTGAGTTCGGTTGGCAGAGAGCGTCTGGCCCAAAGTCACCCAGCCAGCTTTCATGGCTGGGGCAGAACTTGAAATCGCAATTTCTTTCTTTCTAGCCTGGTGACTTAACCATGAAACCAAATTGTTGCATTTCTCTTGGAAATTAACTAAGAGCAGACGAAACTCTCTCCTCTCAAAGTATTATGTATTTCTCTTTAATTATGTAGAATTCTTTATTGGCCAAGTGTGATTGGACACACAAGGAATTTGTCTCCAGTGCATAAGCTCTCAGTGATAAAGCATGAACCATAAGCATAAAATACAATCATCATAAATCATAAGATACAATACTCAGCTATAGGCATAGGATATTAAATAAGCAATCAACATAAATCATAAGATACAAACAACAAAGTTATAGTCATAAGATGCTGAGGGAATAGGTAATAGGAAAGATGAGAATAATAATAGTAATACAGCCCTACTACATGGTTTGACATCCTAGGGCAATGATAAGACATAAGAATTTATTTGTCATTACACTCGCTAGCGGGTGCAACAAAATGAGGTGCTCTTCCACAAAGTAAAACTGGACAAACACCCCTAAAAGAAAAAAAATTGAACTAAACACAACCAACCATACAATAATCTCTATGCAATTTAAAAATGTAAATACCCCATTACTCTCAGCCATTTAAATTCCACAAAAATCTTATGACCCTGCATTCAAACTCAAAACTGCACTTGGATAAAAACTGTTCTTAAATCTGGTCGTCCTTGTTCTTAATACTCTAAATCTCCTTCTCGATGGTAATAGTTCAAAGAGCTGATGTCCCGGATGAGAGGAGTCATTCAATATATTAAGTATCTTCCTCTTACATCTATTCCTATACAGTTCTTCCAAAGAGGGGAGTGAGCAGCCAATGATGTTTTGGGCCGTCTTGATCACCCTCTGAATTGCCTTTTTCTCTGCCACTGTGCAGCTCGAGAACCATACACAGAGACAGTAGGATAATATACGCTCAATTGAACTCCGATAGAAGGTAGTCAGTAGACTCTCAGCCAGTTGTTGTTTCCTAAGAATCCTTAGTAAATACAACCATTGTTGTGCCTTCTTAATTAAAGCAGCGGTGTTTGCGCTCCAAGTCAGGTCATTTGTAATGATGGTCCCGAGAAACTTACATTCCACCACCTGTTCCACACGAACTCCCTCTATATACAGTGGCTGAATGTCTGCTCTTTTTTTCCTATAGTCCACTATAACCTCCTTGGTCTTCTTAATATTAAATAGAAGATTATTATTCTTGCACCAGCGGGATAGCTGTAGTACCTCATCCTGATATGCAGACTCATCATCCCCAGAAATAAGTCCTACAAGCGTAGTATCGTCTGCAAATTTCATTATCCTATTGTTGGGTTCGCCAATGATGGCGAACCTTTTCGGCACCGAGTGCCCAAACTAGAACGCACATGCATGTGCACGTGCCAGAGCACCGGAAAACCAAAGACCAGCTGGCAGGTGTGTGCAATGCTGGGTTTTTTGGCCAGTTTTGGGACCGCTTTCAGGCCCTTTTTCTGGACCCTTTTCAGGCCTAGAAACTTGAAGGTCTCTACTGTTGATACCATGTTGTTGTCTAGTATTATAAGAGATGGTAGAATAGGAGAGCTTCTCCTGAAATCTACCATTTCTACAGTTTTGAGTGTGTTGAGTTCAAGATTGTTTCAACTGCACCACAGGGCAAGTTGTTTAACTTCCCGTCTGTATGCAGATTCATTGTTGTCTCGAATGAGATCATTCACTGCTGTATCATCTGCAGACTTAAGTACTTTAGCAGAGGGGTCCTTTGAGATGCACTCATTGGTGTAGATTCTAGAGAGAAAAAGGTAACAGAGAGCACACACAGCGGGGTGGGTGGGTGGGTAGAGGCTATGCTAATCATCTGATGTGATTCTGCCTAGCTTCACCTGCTGCTTCCTGTCTGTTAGAAAGCTTATAATCCACTTAACAAGTGTGGTCAGACACAGCTAGTTGAGTCAGTTTAGTGAAAAGAATATCTGGAATGATAACATTGAATGCTGAGCTGAATCTACAAAAAGGGTCTTTGCATTCAAGATGTTATAAGATGTAGTGCAGTGCCTTATTAACAGCATCTGCTGATCTATTTGCTCAGTAGGCAAATTGCAAGGGCAATTAGGCAAATCCTAAAAGAGGATTTGTGATGGTTTTCAGGTGGGCCAGCATTAACCTTTTGAAGATTTCATAACTACGGATGTCAGAGCAACCAGTTTATAGTCGTTCAGCTCCTTGATGGAGGGTTTCTTAGACACTGGGATGACAGTAGAGCATTTGATGCAAGAAGACATAACACGCCTCCAGTGATTTATTAAAGATGGGGGTGAAGATGGGGGCCAATTGGTCAGGACAAATTTCAAGCAAGAAGAAGTTGTAAGTACATCTATGATCATGCTTGAATGTGGCTTCTGTTTGCAAGCTCTAGAATGAGTGTTGAGATTCTGCTCTGGCCTTGAGCTTCACAAGAGATATCTACTTCCTTCCCTTAGATGGCCTCTGCAAATGACACCCGACAGATGCCCAAGGATGCTGCTGACCAAAACTTTGATTACATGTTCAAGCTTTTGATCATTGGCAACAGCAGCGTAGGCAAGACATCGTTTCTCTTCCGATATGCTGATGATTCCTTTACTTCAGACTTTGTTAGTACTGTTGGCATCGATTTCAAGGTGAAGACTGTCTACAGAAATGAAAAAAGAGTCAAGCTGCAGATTTGGGTAAGATACTTTACTGTTCATGGGAAGCAGAGTATAGGAACTGAAAATGGAAGTTGGCAGAGCTCTGCATCAGGCAACCAGTCTGTGCCTGGGTACTTCAAGGAGTGCAAATGGGCATACATGGCTTTCTTTGATTAAATCTTAAGAGAAAGAAAGGGCAGTAGAGTATAATGAAAACATGTATTCTTAACTAAAGGAGATAGTGTTCTAGTTACTGCTGTCTTTCTGAGCTTTTGGGTGGAGTTGTATTGATATAGTCATGACATATCCCCTTACATTTCAATATCCTGAAGAGTTTTCCCCCATACCTGAAAAGGGAAAGTACAGTACTCATTTGGTATAAAACTACATTCTGTGCTCCTGCTGATTCATGACATCAATTGATGGGCGAACATACATGTTTCAGCAGTGAAGTAGATTTCCTAAGAACTGAAACTGAAGAAAATATCTCCAAAGCAATTGGAATTCTCAGTTCTGCTTCCCAGCATGTTGCTTTTATTGATTTAGAATCAGCCTTTGATTGCAGGGAAGCAGAAATAAGCCTGCTTGAATTTTGTACTAGAAATTCTAAATTGCATATTGATTGATCAATGACCTCTGATGTCTGCTCATTTATCAACTAGAAATATCTCCTCTTCTAGCTAACGCAGAAGCTTATAAAACATAAAGCATACATACAGTTTACAATTGAATAATAATTGGAAAAATTACTGCACTAGTGCCTTTCTTAAAAAGTGGGACAGTGATAGAATGTTTCTAGTATTTAGGCATTGGAAAGTGTTACTAATAGGTGTAATTAGGAAGGCCAAAGGGAGAGTATGTATGAATAGATTTGTAAACTTAAAAATACACATTTTAAACATCCAGGTCAATATTTATTCCTGGAATATGTGAAGATGGAAGTATTGTCAAGAATTGTACTGTTTTTGTTTATTCTTGTTTTATATGTTTTCTCCCAAGATGAAATACAAAATACAGAATGAAAAAAACAACAAAATAAAAATTACAAACAAGACAAAAAGTGTTTTTAACAAATATAAAATTAACAGTAAACATACAATCTCTACCCTAGTTGAATACTGATATCTATATCTAACACAAATCTAATAGGTTTCCCCCCTTCCCCTTGCATGGCAGGTCTAAAATAGTTATAGATTTTCCATCGATACCTGTAAATTACTATTTTACAACCCATTCTCTTAATAAATACCCCAGATATATAAATCTATTGTCTATCAATCAATTCAACCCAATTCCTGTTCACTGTAGAATAGAATACAATAGAATAGAATTCTTTATTGGCCAAGTGTGATTCGACACACAAGGAATTTGTCTTGGTGCAAATGCTCTCAGTGCACATCAAAGAGCTGTTAACTGTTAAAACCTCCCAAATAATTTTCAAAGCCCTGTTAACAGTTTGTTATTATATTTAACTTGCAGAAACACCACAATGGCTTTGTTTTTGTTTTTTGTACCATTGAGTCAGCTTGACTTCTGGTGACTACCTGGTTTTCTTGTCTATGGTTTTCTTGGCAAGGTTTTTCAGAAGTAGTTTGCCATTGCCTGCTCCATAGGGCTGAGAGAGAGCGACGGGCTTGTGTTCACTCAGCTGGCTTTGTGCCTCAGGCAGGGCAGAACTCCCATTTTGTAGCCTGATGCCTTAAACCACTATACCAAACTGGCTTAATATGTTTAATATGGCTAAAAATGAATCTGCATTTGAATAAAAAAACACATTTTAACTTTTTTCCCTGACCTTTGCCATTGTCTTAATTTTTCAGCTGATATTATTTCCCCACTTTTTAATAAGATGGATTCAATGAAAAACATCCTTTAATTGTCTATTATTTAGGTGTTAAGTAACACAGGAAAAAATTTAAATGAATACTCTTTGTTGCAATGGTTTAAATTACTATTGTAGCGAGCCATCTTTTAATGGAATAGCTTATTGGCCGGAGGTATCCAAGTATTGTTTTCATATGGATTGTCAGCTACTCTAGAGAATAAAGCACCTGTAGCATTTTATAGATACCCTTTGGCCTCCCAAAACTAACCTGAATGCAAAACTCAAATATTTCTTTGGGGAGAGTGACAGCATGTTTCTGGATCCCTTCAGTGTTTAAATGTGGCATCCTGCTCCAGCGACTGTGAGATGGAAAGCACTACTAAGGTTCTTAGATCTGGGGAAATGTTTTTCAAAATATTGAGGATCCAACTTTTTAGCTATTTGAATACACAATGGCCTGGGCCACTGAGAGGTGAGGCCAGATAATTTGCTTTTTTGGTGTGTTTATAGGTTTGTTGTTTCTTATTAGAATCAACCAATAAGAGAAAAAAAAGATATTTGGCGATAATGTGATAATTTTGTGTAAGCTGAGGTTCTCCTCCATGCTGCAGCGAAACCCAGGATAGGTAGACTCTTCTTATGACATCATTAAGCTGAGTCTGGAGAATCCCCAGATTCTTAAAGTCACAAGCTGTGTCTCTGAAAGCGTTAGCGTTTCATTCAGCGATTTTCTACAGAAGCTACCCTTGCTTCAATCAGCTCCTGGGGCTCCGGCCAGCTGCAACTTCAGGAGAGCAAGGCTCCGTTCTCCTGCAACGTTGGGATAAACGTTTTCCCAAGTGCTGCTAGGCAAGCAGGGAAGCGTCTGAGACCTTCCCCATAGCCGCAGTTTGTCCGATCGTAAAACTGATTGGCAAACTGATAACAGAGCCAGCCAGCTGATCGCGGGGAGGCGATCTCTTCCTTCTCTGGCTGATCTGATCGCTTGAGGCTTGCAATAGCCTAAGGAGCAAAATTCACTTATCGGAGCCATCGACGAGCAGCGGCCATCTTTGAGTGGTCTTTTCAGACACAAGGTGAGCGGCCATTTTAAGTGGCCTGGTGGCCATTTTCAGGGCTCCAAAGACCCAATTCCACCCTCTGCCATCCTTAAGCACTTTTGAGAGCCATTCTCTCAATGTTTGCGCCTTGCTTATTTTAAAATGGATCAGGACAGTGCTCATGCAGAGCTTTCCCCTCCCCAGTGGAACAGGCCCTCCAACCCACTAAAAGGAAAAGACGCAGACAACGTACTGCTCAGAGGGAAGTGGCTGCAAAAATCAGAGCTAAGGCTCTAGCCCCTAAGAAGACAACTCAGGATGAGTTGAAGGCAGAGAAACGCAGACATGAAGCTCTAGAGAGACAATTTAACAAGACTATTCAACAAATGAGAGGGCAACTGCAACAGGCTTCCCAGCCAGCCGAACACCAGGGTTTCCAGAGAAGCCCCCCCAGGGGAAGGGAAGTTGTTCATGGAGCCTTTGGACACCCCCCATTTGGTCCCCTGAGGCATTTGAGGAACAACTAGATCCTCAGGATTTCAGCAGGTTTGGGCCATATTTCCAGCATTCTGGGCCCTGGGCCCCCTCTCTTCCCTCCAGAGTTCAGGCCTCCCAGATCAGGCCCAGGGAGATCCAAGATGTTGTTTCCTTAGCCATTAGATAGGGATTGGCTGAAGGTTTTCAACAGATTCTTCGGCCTCTGGAAAGGGTTCAGGCCCTTCTCCCTTCTCAGTCTATAGCTTCCTTACCTCTGCAACGAGATTTCCACAGATCCCAAGACCTCAGGGTCCATTCTTCACAGGCAGAATGGGAGGAGTATGAAGGGGAAGAGGGTGTCTTCCCATCTGAACACAGTTGCTCCTCTCATTCAGAGCGCGAAGAGGGTGAAATCTGTGATGCAGTCTTTCAGAGGAAGAAGACTCTCATCCAGATCAGCCCTCCTCTGCATTAGTCTTTAAACCAGCCCTCTTTAAACCCCTACTTAGCAAGGCCCTGGTCACTGCCAAGCTGTCACCTGAGGAAGCAGCACCTGAACCACAAGGGGAACCCTCCGGGCAACGAGACTCGCTCTTCTCCAAGCCAGTAGTACACACGGAGGTTTTGCCTTCTCCCCTTTTGTTTCTCGACATGGTCAAGGAACAGCGTGTTTCCCCTTCAGCAGGTCCTCGTCCATCATCTTTGGACAAGCGGTTCTACATTGTTAGCACATCCCTAGCCAACACCCTTGCGGTGCTCTCAGTAGACACTCCAGTTGTGGCATCATTCTCCTCTTCTGGCACTCCCACCGAGCCAGAGGATGTCCTTAAACCAGAGGACAAGCATTCAGAACAGACCCTCAAGCGCAACCACCAAGCAGCTGCGTAGGCTGTTCAGGCTTCAACCGCTGCATCATTTTTCACGAGGGCATCTCTACGATGGCTGCACCAACTGCAGGACTGATTGCCTGCCTCTGACCTCAGGTCTCATCAAGACCGTAACAAAATTATAGCAGTGGCGAAATTCACTACGGATGCCACCCTCAATTCCGCCAAATTTGCATCAAGGGCCATGGCATCTTCAGTGGCGGCAAGAAGGCTTCTATGGCTCCGAAATTGGCAGGCGGAGTCACGCCGCAAATGGAAGCTGGCCTCTGCCCCCTGCGCAGGAGATGAGCTTTTCGGCAAGACTCTAGAGCCGTATCTCATTGAGACCAGAGATAAACGTAAAATTCTTTCCTCCTTGGGGAAAAAAGCTGACTATCGCCCAGCTCCTTATCGCCCACCTGCCTTTAAGGCGGAGTCCACCTCCCGCTTTCCTCAGCCACAGAGGGCATATTCTCAACGCCAAGACCAACATCAAGAACCACCTGGCAGACAACAATCTTCTGCTGGTAAATGGCCCTTTCGGGGGGGAGGGGGTTGTGCCTTCCGTCGCTCAAAGTAATACCTCATTCTCCCCACCCATCGGAGGTCGCTTAGCCTTCTTTGCCTCCAAATAGGAGGAGTCAACGACGGATGCCTGGGTGCTCAACACTGTTAGGTCAGGGCTACAATTGGAATTTCTATCGTCACCCCCAGAAAATGTTTTGATTTGTCCTGATTCACGGGACACTTCAAAGAGAGCCCTTATGAATTCGGCCATTCAACACATACTCGACATAAGGGCTATTTAACCAGTTCCCACCTTACAACGAGGACGTGGATTTTACTCTCATCTTTTTGTTGTTCCCAAAGCCTCAGGGGGTGGGGTGGCAAGCCATCCTTGACCTAAAATTTCTCAATCAATTTGTCAAATACACGAGATTTAAAATGCAGACGCTGCATTCTATCTTAGACAGCGTTCGGGAGGGCGACCTCCTCTCTTCCATTGTTCTCAGAGGCTTACCTCCACATCCCCATCTGGCCTCATCATCGCCAGTTTCTCCATTTCTGTTACCAGAATGCCCACTTCCAGTATTGAGCCCTTCCCTTCGGCCTCTCATCGGCTCCAAGGGTCTTCACAAAGATTCTAGCAGCATTGGTGGCTTCACTCTGTTCTGTTCCAGTGAGGATCCAATGCTACTTGGACGACATGTTGATACTGTCTTCCTCCATCCACTCGGCCCATCAGGACTTACAAATTACCCTGTCTTGCCTCCAAAGCCATGAGTTTTCCATCAACACCAAGAAGAGCCATCTCTCACCCACGACCAAACTGCTACACTTGGGAACAGTCATCGTCATGACTTTGTGCCAGTTTTCCTGTCTCCAGATCATGGAAAAAGCCTTGCAGAGATCATCAGCCAGATTCAACAACAACAGACTGTTCCACTGTCGCTGCTGTCCAAACTACTGGGGAAGATGGTCTCCTGTATTGGCATTGTCCCATAGGCACGGCTTTACTCCCGATCGCTCCAATGGTTCAACAAGCAGGAACCAGCCACTCATCAATCAAGGTCCTGCTCTCTCAACAGGCCCAGCGGTCCCTCAGTTGGTGGCTCTCCCGGTCCCTCTGAAAGGGGCTCCAATTCAAGGAACCAGACAGGCTAGTAATCACCACAGATGCCAGGCTTCTGGGTTGGGGCTTCTATATGGAGGATCAGATAGCTCAAGGAGTTTGGTCCAGATCAGACAGCACCCATCCCATAAATTGGTTAGAGCTCAGAGCTATCTCTCTGGCTCTCAAACATTTCAGAGCCTCAGTGACCGGCTCCCATGTTCTCATTTTGATGGACAATATGGCCACAAAGGCACACATCAACAGACAGGGGGGGACGAGATCCAAGGCACTTAAGAGAGAGGCAGAATGTTTGGGGTTATGGGCAGAGAAACACCTGCTGTCGATCTCAGCGGATCACATTTCCGGAGTCGACAATTCCCAAGCCGACTGGCTGAGCAGGAGTTTAGTCGACCAGGCAGAATGGTCAATTCCTCCGTCCCTATTCAGGGATCTTTCCCTCAGATTCGGAACTCCGGAGGTGGATCTCTTCTCCACTCCTCAAAATGCCCAAGTCAACAGATTCTTCACCAGGCTGGAGACTAAAACATAAAGAACATTGCAGGATTTCATTTTGGCTAGTCAAGAAAAGAACAACTAGGGGTGACATGATAGCAGTATTCCAGTATTTGAGGGGCTGCCACAAAGAATCCAAATCTCCAAAGCACCAGAGGGCAGGACAAGAAACAATGGTTGGAAACTAATCAAGGAGAGAAGCAACCTGGAATTAAGGAGAAACTTCTTAAGAGTGAGGACAATTAACCAGTGAGACAGCTTGCCTTCAGAAATCATGGGTGCTTCATCATTGGAGGTTTTTAAGAAGAGACTGGACAGCCACTTGTCTGAAATGGTATAGGGCAGGGATCTCCAAACTTGGCAATTTTGAGACTTGTGGACTTCTAACTCCCGGAATTTCCCAGCCAGCATGGCTGGCTGAGGAATTCTGAGAGTTAAAGGGTCTATAGGGTCTCCTACTTGACAGGGGGCAGGACTAGAAGACCTCCAAGGTCCCTTCCAGCTCTATTCTATGCACAAGATTGCATGGTTAGGCAGCTAGACTGCATATGAGGTTCATTTCACATCTTTATAAACATAAATAGATTTTACAAACCAATTGTAGATTTCTTCAGTATGGAGCAAACTCAAACAGAAACATGTTGCAAGTTCAGAGCAGAGCTCCAGTCTTCAGCAAGCAAGTAAGTTTCATCTTCAATAGATCAGCAGGCAAGCAAGAGGAGAGAAGCAGTTTCATTTCAATAGACAGAGCTCTAACATAGCTGCAGAGTTGCAGAGTTTAACATAGAGCCATGCCTAAGCTACTTTTAGTTTCAGTTTCCAGCCTAGACTACTTCTAGTTTCAGTTTCCAAACTATCCTCATTGGCTGATTTAGTTGCTATGCTTATTCATTGGCTGGTCTTGTTACCATGCTCTATTCCAGATCATGAATATACTCTGACAATTAGTGGATTGCCTATAGACATAGATTTTGTATGGATAAATATAAGGTAATGGGGATTTTTTATTCAAAGTTCTATAGGTTTAAAAAGCATGCTAATCATTATAAGTGTATTAGAATAATGTTTGTATTAGATAATTATATATAGAATTGTAGTTGTTTAGTGGATGTCTCTAATCTTAATAGAATATGATTAATGCTGATGTTCTTGAGGCACATTGTAGATGTCAACTCCAAAAAATGCTAGTAATTATATACCACATTGTGCCACATTGTTATGAGGGTCCATTATAATGACTAAGAAGTTCTGGGAATTGTACTGCAATGCATTAGAGCAGCAGGCTGAGGAAGTCTGCTCTGGGTGGGGTCATTCCATACGTCTTGTATGCAATTTGCTAATTGTCTATAACTTCAGTCTGCAGTCCTTAATGGTGCTTTTTAAATTGGAGATAGCACCATCTGCTTCTGAAAAAAGTATGACTCTCTTTGGATCTGTGCATTTGCATACTGTCCTACAAGGCTGAAAAGATAGTTCTCTGTCTTTTCCAATTTTGGGGTTGGCCTTCATTCCATGTGGTTATTTTGGTGGGAAGGGCAGCCTGGAATACCCTTTTTTTCTATTCCATCAAAAGAGCCCTCAGGCCAAAATCCTCAAAACTGAAGTATCAACAAGAATGTCTGTTTCTCTTGTTGCTTTAATGGTCTGTGCTCTGATAACAATTCCACGCTGGGGAAACATTTCCACACTAGTGAACCTTTTAGGTCAGGAACTCGCTGTCCTTTCTACCCTTAGCCTTTGATAATGCACCAGAAGCAACCCATTTCCAGCTTGCTGTCCTCTTTTCCCTCATTTAAATGCTCCGTTAAGCTTTCAATCTCTTTAAATTTTAATTAGAGTCAAATGCCAACCCTTATGTACATCACGGCCATCATAGAAATATTGTCCTCAACCAGAGATGAGTGTAAAAGGAGACCATATGCCAGGGCCCTGCAGAGTAAGCACAGGTTTCCACAGTAACAGTGAGTCTTTGGGCTACAGGAATAAATGTCAGGAGAATCAGGGAAGAGTCTAGTCTCCAAGGCTGGGCAGCAGAAGAGAGACTGCTCTTCCATAGCCTTTCGGTGCCTGTGCTTTGTAAGTGGCCTCATCTCACTTCATTATTATTATTATTGTCATGTTTTCTGCTTGAAACCATGAACAAATAGAATTGCTTTAGATTATAGGTTTCCCCCAGAAGAATTTCTGAACTTTTGAGATTGAATGAGGTTGGGCATACTTTGCATCTATTAGCGGCATGCCAATCTGAAAAATGGAAAGATTCATGTATCAATGCCGAAAGAACTATGTTGAACTAGGGGTGCTGTTTGATAGGTTGATTGATTATAAAAGTAGGCAAGATGGGAGATCACAGAGAGAAATTTCTGATAATAATGAAAAAAAGATAGATGAAATTGACTTTAAAGCTTGACAAAGCAAGTAGTTAGATAAGGAACAATACATGGGGGCTTTGTCTGAAAGGGGAAGTCATTTAATTGATCCTTTTTCTGTTTCTGTCTTTCTAAGGACACAGCTGGCCAAGAGCGGTATCGGACCATCACAACAGCCTACTACAGGGGAGCAATGGGTTTTTTACTCATGTATGATATTTCCAATCAGGAGTCTTTCAATGCTGTACAAGACTGGTAAGGATTGCTGTGCAGAATCCTGTTGGAGCAAGGACTTTTTCTGTCAAGGGGGTGATTTCCAGTTACGGACTAGGAAAACAGACTTAGAAATGTGCTGAGTTGGTAATGTACTTTTTACAGGTACAACCATCTTTCTATTCAGGAACTTGCTCAGGGCCAGAATGTCTTACCAGTACATTAAAAGCTGAGTTAGAAAGCAATGTTTCATTTGCACAGCAACTCCTAGGTTCCATAATTGGCATCTCCAATTAAAGTATTTTAGCAACAGGCCTGTGAAATATCAGGGCCCAAAATAACACTACCAGTCAGAACAGGTGACATTGTATGGCTTTTATCAACTGACTCATTATAAAGCAATCAGGATACACACACCCATTGTACAAATAGACCTCAACTCCTGACTAGTAATTTAACAACTGTTCAGAGTTATGACAGATTCAGAAAGAGAGTTTTACAACCTGTAAAGCACTTCTGGCTATTGTACAATATTGTGCTGTCGTCCCATTCCCCCCCCCCCCCCGCAGACACATGACTACATTTTAGGCACTTGGTAACTGGCTCACATTTAAAGCTGGTTGCGGTGTTCTGCAGTCACATGACCATGAGTTGCAATGTTTTTTGCTGGTTTCTGATAACAAATGCCCATTTGACAGAAGAGTTTTACACTTATGCCTGAATAAAACAGAACAGAACAGAGCTGGAAGGAACCTTGGAGGTCTTCTAATCCAACCCTCTGCTCAAGCAGGAGGCCCTATACCATTTCAGGCAAAAGGCTATCCAATCTCTTCTTTAAAAACCCCCAGAGACGGAGCATCTACAACTTCTGGAGGCAAGCCGTTCCACTGGTTAATTGTTCCTACTGTCTGGAAATTTCTCCTTACTTCTAGATTGGTTCTCTTCTTGATTGGTTTTAATTCATAGCTTCTTGTTCTGAAATGACCATCGCTGGTCCCAGAATATTCCACCCAACAATTCACTGCTCCCTCTCCTGAATACATAATCCATAAATAAACTGAAGGCCCACCCACTAATAATCTCCCCAATATCTAACAATAGCAAAACAAACTAAATAAAAACATAAAATCAAAACACCTGCTAACTGAATTCCAAGCTCTTCCTTTTTCATATAATAATTAACCACATTCCCCTCCCACCCACCAAACACTTCAAAACAGAACAAGAACAGCTACAATTCTTCTACAAACTATTCCACAAGCCAGAAATGGTTACAACAATGATAAGAATATCTCCAGTCATTGCTTGCACAAGTTACTTTAACAAAACACAACTTTCCAAAAATTCTTCAAAGTCCAAATTAGGATTGTCATTCCATTTCTTCTCTTTTTAGAAGTTGTCTTTTCTGTCACATTACCTTCCTTCTGATAATATTCCTCAGCTACCCATCCACCCTTTTTTCTCCCTAGTCCGCTACAGTTCTAAAAAGAGCTTCCAGAATTATTGTAACTCATAAACTCAAAAGCTCATCTTAAAAAGAGTTAAGACCTTCCTGTCTGAATAAGCCAAGTGATATATTTTGAATTGGTATCTCATTCTGGGTGTGTGCACACAATAAGGATTCTGATTTCCTTTTCCCCATTCCTGTCAATTAGGGAAAGTGGGGAGAGCAACCACCATTCAAATCAACACTGTTCCTTTTTGCAAAAGGTGGAAATAATAGTGCATATGAACTGATGAAACGAGGATGATTATTCTGCCTTGACTGTCACTGACTGTTCTTTTTAGGTAACTGTGAAATTACAAACCCAATAGCAAATCCATTCCAGAATTTTCTATATCCTTCTCTTAGGGCAACTCAGATCAAGACTTACTCCTGGGATAATGCTCAAGTGATTCTGGTTGGGAACAAGTGTGACCTGGAGGATAATCGAGTAATACCCACTGAAGATGGCAAGAGACTTGCTGATGAACTAGGTTTGTTTTGTCTCTTATATAGGAACACCTCCAGATTAGATTGCTCCCTCAATCTCCTAGCCAACAAAACAAGAAATGCCTCCCTCCCTCCCTCCCTCCCCTCTCTTTCTCCCCTCCCATCTTTGGGCTGCTTCTTCTTTTTTTAACATTTCTTCTCCTTCCAGGTTTAGAATTCTTTGAAGCCAGTGCCAAGGATAATATCAATGTCAAGCAGGTCTTTGAGCGCTTGGTAGACATAATCTGTGAGAAGATGAATGAGAGCCTGGATGCAAGCTCTGGCATGAACAGCGCCAATCACAAGAACACTGCCCTAAAGGAAGCATCAGCTTCACAGTCCAACAGTTGTTCCTGCTAGACAGAACTTTGCCCACCACTGAGACTTGCAGTGCCTCGCTGCCCTACATAAATGAGGAGGAAGATTCAGCAGATTGCACATCTCCTTTGACTGCTGGTTGGCTCATCTCCCTGTTTGCTTCTGGCTGTGCCTGTTTGGCCTCTGACAGCATGTACCAGTTGCCTCCCCTCCTCTTCTCTGCAGCATGATTGGCCTTTTCTGGCAAAGGAGTATGATTTCTTTTGCACTTCACTTTACACTCCCAGTGACAGGTCTTTGCAACCCAGACAAATTGGGTCTCGCTCTGACGCTGTTTTTCTCTCCACTCTTTTCAAGATTTTAGTGCCAATTCTCTGATTTGATTGCTCTCACTTTGTGACTAGGAATTGAGCAATTTGTCTCATATTTAACCTGGATCTACATAAGGATGTTTCCTCCCGATCTTTCCTTTTTCCAGTTTAAATCCTGCATCAATTTAACATGCATTTGATTAAGTGTGCTGCGGTTCACAAAATTTTATGCCTTTTAATAAAAAGTATTTTTTATTGGAAAGGGGCTATGTTATTCCTTTGGATTTTCTGCCAAATTCAGCCTTCTGCAATTTTCTCAATTCTGCAATTCTGATAGCAGGCTGCACAATTTTTAATGCACAATATTTCAGTGAGACAGAGAACAGAAATAGATAGTTTAATGAATGAGAAGGGATTTTTAGACGCACACACCCCAATTTTTTTTCATTGGGGGGGGAAACCCTTTTTACAGATAATAATACATTGTCAAAGAGCTCTTATTCTCCTCACAATTTGCAAGATTCTCAAATTTCATTTTTCATGTTATTGATTTGATAATGAGCCTTAGATGTACTACACCTGGCATTTAGCTCTTCTTTCCCTACCCTTTATCTGTACTGAGGAAAGCATTTCTTTGATGAGTTCGACCCTCTGGTTGACTGTCACATTGGGAGCCCTCTCCAGGCTTGCCACAGGTTGTGCTGCCCTCCTGGCTTGGGCCTGGATCCTCTGATGGTCACCCCTACTGGTGGTTCTTCCAATTTTCTGATGCCAAATGACCATTGGGGTCAATCCCCCACCATGGGAGACTTACTCCATCTCTCAGGGGATCCGGACAGTGGTACTGGCTTCTATGAGGCTGTCTTAGGGCAGGCGCCAGGTTCAGCTGTGGTTTGCTGGTTGCTCTTCCAGGTTGGAGGAGCCTCAGCTCCTCTCCCCAGTCAGGGCTTTTGCAGTTGTTCTTCAGTCCTGTCACAAATTCTTCCCCGCCTTCCAGCTCTGCTTGATCTTCACCAGAGCTAGCATGGTTCTAAAGATTGCAAAATTCCCATGGTAGATTAATCCTCTGGGTGGATGAAAGAATGCAGTTCTGGCTTACTGTTGGATCTGCCACAATTTAAACCTCTAAATAGAATAATCTTTGGCTCCATTTGTTAAGAAAGGTATAGTTTATTTGTAAGTTCAATTGTAAGTTCAATTGTATTGCAGTAGTGCAAAGCCAGAACTGAAAATTGCATGCCAAAATCCCTAAGTTCTACTTTTCCCTCCTTTAACTGGCTGACAAACCATACTCAATGAGGAGTCCTTAATGGTCTATGTCTCCATGGAAGGAAGGAAGCAGTGGGGTACCACAAGGTTACATCTTGGGCCCAGTACTCTTCAATAAGCGACTTAGAGAGGGAATAGAAGAGGAACTTACCAAATTTGCAGATGATACTAATCTGGCAGGAATAGCTAGCACCCTAGAAGATAGGCTCAAGATCCAGGTGGATCTTGACAGACTTGAACATTAGGCCCCATTTAACAAAATGAAATTCAATGTAGAGAAAAGTAAAGTTAGGCAAGAAAAACCACAGGCAAGAAAAACCTAAAGTATGCATATAGACTGGGTGAAACTAGGCTTAATAGAAGCAACTATGAGAGGGATCTTTTGAGTCTTCATTGACAACTAGCTAAATATGAGCCAGCAGTATGCAGCAACTGCCAAAAAAGCCAATGCAATCCTAAGCTGCATTAACAGAGGGATACAATCAAGATCAAGTGATGTACTAATACCACTCTATAAATCCTTAGTAAGACCACACCTAGAACACTGCATCCAGTTTTCGTCACTACACTATAAAAATATGTTGAGACTCTGGAAAAATGCAGAGAAAAGCAACCAGGATAATTACAGGACTGGAAACTAAATCATATGAAGAACAGTTACAGGAACTGGGTATGTCTAGTGAAGAGAAGGGCCAGGGGAGACATGACAGCAGTGTTCCAATACTTGAGGGGCTGCCACAGAAAGGAAGGGGTCAAGCTATTTTCCAAGGCACCTGAAGGCCAGGCAAGGAATAATGGATGGAAACTGAACAAGGAGAGATTCAACCTGGAAATAAGGAGAAATTTTCTGACAGTGAGAACAATCAATCAATGGAATAGAAGTTGCCTTCAGAAGTTGTGGGAGCTTCATCACTGGAAGCTTTCAAGAAGAGACTGGACTGCCACCTGTCAGAAATGGTACAGGGTCTTCTGCTTGGCAGGGGGTTGGACTAGATGACTTACAAGGTCCCTTCAACCCTTCCAAACTGTCTCTTATTGTTTCCTCCAGTGTAACCAATCCAGTTCAGGCAAGATGTTTTCCTAATGGTCAGTCCAAGCATAGTTTGGTATGCGGCCCCCTCCTTCCAGCTGGGTGACCTTGAGGCAGTGTCTCAAAGAGATACAGCATTTACTTTCATTTCTCCCTTCTCCCCACAGTTCATGGCAGTCTGTCACTACATAGCAAAGCACAAGCAAGCGTAAGGTGGCAACTGCCATTGCCACTGATCCCCGTCCTCTCTCCCTCCCACTGTGTGGCCACAGGTGATTCACCCAGGACACTAATCTTTGACCAATGATGGCATGGACAATTGTCCACCAGCCAATCCGCACGTTGCCAACTACTATAAAGTAAAGATACAGGTACTGTGGATGGGATGAAGGCATTAGCCTTATTTGTGTCAAATAGGATTGAGATAATTTTTGTGTATAACTGGTAATAATTTAGGGGAGGGATAGAGATTTTGCTAATTAGCAAAACCGAAAGAGTGAGCACTGATTCAACTTCTGGTATTCTCTATGTATTCTTTGTGAATCTTTACTTTCAAATTCATATTACTTGTTAAGAGACTGAACAGGCTGATACAAAAGTGCTCCATGATTTCATTGGTATATTAGACAAACTTAGCAATTAACCAATTTTTGTTATAATCATGATTAATTATGCTTGGTTGTAATGGTTGATTTTATTTCTGGTTATCTTGTTTCATTTTGTTTATGTTTTTATTTGTTTTAATTATAAATTATATTCTATAAGTTGCCCAGAGTCAATTGGAGTGGGCAGCTATATGAAATCTAATAAATAATAATAACAAAAATAATAACAATTATAAATTGCAAAAGGCAGCTTTAGAGAACAACATATCCTGTGACGATGCCTTCAACATCATCAAACAATAATATCAGCCTATTCCAGTCCTTGGGAAGGACTTGATAGATGGATAAAAATGCCAAATCCAGTCTAAATATTTGGCTGACTTGCAACAGACCACAATAATAAAGTTCATTTTCCTTTTTTCATTCCCTATTATGCCATATCAAAAAAAAAAAAAACCCTCCTAGTTCATGGCTTCATTAATTAAAATTGTCTACTAATTCATCTAATACAGCATTAGCTAATATTTTTGTTACTTAAATCAAACTCTGAAATCTTAGCTACATAATGAAATCAAAATAACTCCTAAAGATTAATCACCTAGTGACATAAAAAGTATAGCACATGTTTCTTTAATTTGAAGTTACAGTATATTTTGTCTTTCAGAATAAAGAACATTGTATAAATAATTATGGCAAAAGGAGTTAGATTATAATAAAAAGTGCTTGAGAGTTATATTATTATTAATGACACGTCTGCATCAGCAAATTTGCCTATTTGCCATTTAAGTTGCTATCTCATGCAGTATATTTTCAAACCATTCCATGAGACCCGTACTAAAGGTTTGTCATGAAATATTTTGACACCACTGGCTCTTAACTGTGTCACTTCTGGGAACCAATTCTTCCTGGCCCCAATTCAAAGTTTCCAAACAGGGAATTACAGATGCTTTATATAGCTGCATTCCTGATCTGCTTTAGGAATGATACTGTTTCCCTGTGTGCATTCTCATCAGGTCTGCTAAGCCTTGTGCACATATCCTTACAAATAACATTCAAATATATTTAATGTTGTTTTTCAAAGTAAATGTTCCTTCTAAAAATTTCCTGGGGTTCCCACCACATAGAATAAATAGTAGTAGGTAAAGCCAATTTATTTTCTTGGCATGTCTAACTATTATACCATTTATAATAGTAAGGGGAAATTAATGATCAATCAATACCATTATCAAAAAGGTTCAAGATGTGCCAGCTCTATAGCTATACAGAACCACTGAAAGATACTGCTTTTTTCCATTTATGAACAAGGACAATTGTCCTGTCTCTTCACCATAGGCACAGAGATTGACTTGGCTGGTGCTTGATCAGGCCAAGAGATGGCATTTTGCTTCAGACCTTTGTACCTATATGAAAATAGAGGATCAAGGAGACAACCATAGCAGCCATCTACAAAAGAAAAGAAAAAGTGAAATGAGATTGACATAAACAGATTGCACACTACTTTACTAATCTTACACACCCTCTGATGTAAAATGGACTTAAAATGTCCTAAAAACCTTGAGAACCTATTCAATTATTCTTTTTCTAGATTTCAGAAGGATTATGATAACATTTTGGAGAAAAATATGCAGTAAAAGTTTGACTCATTTTCTATAACAGTGTAGTCTCTAGTATACGAGGGCTATCCACAAAATAGATTACATTTTCGTCTGTAGCAAGAAGGGGCGGAGCTAGGGCGGCCATCTTTGGTCTGTGCATCCGCCGCTCAGTCTGCATCTAGTCGTGCTAGTGGGAGGTTCGTATCGTTGCCCATTATTTCACAGCAAACGTTTGAAATGTGTGCTGCAATTGAAAATCCCACGAGTTGTGAGGTGCGATCGGTGATAAGGTTTTTGTTGGCAAAAAAACATAAACCGATTGAAATTTTTCGGCAACTGTGTGAAGTGTACGGGGACAACATCATCATTGAAGGTGGAGTGCGCCAATGGTGCATTAAGTTTAAAAATGGATGAACTAATGTTCATGATGAACAGCGGAGTGGACATCCGAGCATTGTGACTGATGAACTGGTCGCGAAAGTCGATGACAAGATTCGTGAAAACCGCCGTTTCACAGTAACGGAACTTTCGCTTAGTTTTCCACAAATTTCACACAGTTTGTTGCATGAAATTGTTACACAAAAGCTAGGCTACCACAAATTTTGTGCAAGATGGGTGCCAAAAATCCTGACAGAAATCCACAAGAGTCAGCGTATGGCCACATCATTGACATTTCTGTACTCTTACGACAAAGATGGAGATTCATTTCTTGATCGAATCGTAACTGGAGACGAGACTTGGGTCAAACATGTGAACAGCGAGACCAAATTGCAGTCTATGGAGTGGGGGCACACAAATTCCCCCCAAAAAACCAAGAAAATGTTTGCAAACGTTGTCTGCAAGGAAGATTATGGCGACTGTTTTTTGGGATAGGCAAGGTGTGCTTCTTATTGATTTCTGGAACATGGTGCAACAATAAACTCTGTGAGGTATTGTGAAACGTTGCAAAAACTAA